GCATTCGTGGCGAGCAGACGTGGATGACGTTCGACGCGATGAGTGCTCGCCGCCAGCCTGCTGATCATCATCTGCACAGGGTGCTTGCCTCAGATGAGAACTGGCCGCTCTCCAACACTGCCTGGAGGTCGGCATTGGTGCCAGAGCGTGTGTTCGTCTGCTTGAAGGACCCCGAGCCGACGGTGTTCCTGGTGCTGTACTCCTGCGAGTCAGCGTTGTTGGGATGGCCCGCCGTGCGCAGCGCTGGGACGCAGTACGTGTCTCTGGACGCTCATGCGCCAAAGCTGGTCTGGCACACCGTCCATGACTTCGAGGCGGTCGCTGTGCTCCCCCACTCGGTTGTGTCGCCGCTGCGTGCGCTCTTGGACGGCAGCCTCACGAGCACCAACATGGGTCTGCTCACCAAGCTCGCCGAGCCCGTGCCGCTGCTGGACTACCTGTGTTCGGTCGGCTTCGCGGGCGTGAGCGAGGGCCTGATGAAGAAGCTGTTCGGCCTGCGCAAGGCGGCCGCGCCCCAGGAGTGCGTCGGCGGCCTGGACTACGAGACCTCCCTCGCAGTCTGCCTGATGAAGGAGATCAAGCCGACCATGACGCAGGAGGAGTCCCACCTCGCCTTGCAGAAGCGCATCGGCCACAAGGCCGAGGAGGACTGGACCGAGCACATCAACATCGACGACGTCGAGAAGGTCGTGTCGTCGGGCGACAAGGACCAGCTCAAGAAGTTCGACGCTGGGCAGCAGGCCAACAAGGCACTGCGGGAGGCGTTGCACTCGGCCCTCGAGGCCGTGACGAAGGACATGTTCAAGAAGGGTCCAGCGGCGAAGGGCGCCGCCAAGAAGCCCGTGGCAGCGCCCAATGCCGCGAGCTGGTGGGCCACAGTCCGCGGAGACCCCGCGTGGCTCGAGAAGAATCGGCCGCCTGTCGGCAGCGTCCACGTCGACGACATCGCTGGCCGTTTCCAGCTGGCGTACCCTGGCCAGGGCACCAAGTCCGTCGCGTGGACCAGGCGCGGCATGGAGCTCGCGAACGTGGAGGCGTGCCGCGTCCTCTGGTCGTGGCATTGCAAGGCCGTTTGGGCACATGCTAAACCAACCGCCATCCACCCCCAATCCTCCTCCTCCTCCGCTCCCTCCTCCTCCTCCTCCTCCTCCTCCTCCTCCTCCTCCTCCTCCTCCTCATCCTCCCCATCCACCTCCTCCTCCTCCTCCTCCTCCTCCTCCTCCTCCTCCCTCCTCCTCCTCCTCCAATCCTCCTCCAATCCTCCTCCTCCTCCTCCTCCTCCTCCTCCTCCTCCTCCTCCTCCCGCGGGCGTCCTGATGGGGAGGGGGAGGGGGCTGGCCGCGTCCGATACGGGGATCTCGCCTTCCCTTAGAGGGCGCGCCAGCTACACGGATGGAGCCCCCCCCCCTCCTCGGGCACTGCCCCCCCCCCCCGTCCGCCCGCCCGCGCACAGGCGTGCCCTGGCGCGGCGATGCCCGCGGCGCTGCAGGGCCAGGGCTGAGGGCGGCCGCCGCTGCGCGGCAGGCGGAGGAGGAGGAGGGGGAGGAGGAGGAGGAGGGGGAGGAGGAGGAGGAGGAGGGAGGAAGGAGGAGGAGGAGGGGGGGAGGAGGAGGAGGAGGAGGAGGAGGAGGAGGAGGAGGAGGAGGGAGGAGGAGGAGGAGGAGGAGGAGGAGGAGGAGGAGGAGGAGGAGGAGGAGGAGTTATAACGAGGACCGCGGTCCTCAGGGGCGAGCGCTGCGTGACTGCGCGCAGCACTGGCTGACGGGCGCAGCTCGACTCGCCCTCGGAACCCTCCTCCTCCGTCGTCGTCGTCGTCGTCGTCGTCGTCGTTGTTGTCGTCGTCGTCGTCGTCGTCGTCGTCGCGCCTCGAGGGTTGCGGTTCGAGGATTCTTGGTTTTCGGGACCCCGCCTTCTCCGTCCATGCCTCCACCATTACCTCGAGCGGCTCTCCCTTCTCTCCCTTGCTCTCTCTCCCTCGCTTCCTTGCTCCCTTGTCCTCTTCTTCCCCCCCTTACCCCGCGTGACTCCGAGCTTACCCTCCCCCACCGCTCCCTCCTCGGACAGATCTCTCCCCACTTGTCGCAGCCCCTCCATGCCCCCCTCACCCGCCGCCCAGATCCCCCTCCCCCCCTTCACCCTCCAGCAGCATGCAGTCCTGCCCTCGATTATCCCATCCCCCTTCCTTGCCCCCTCCAGCCTCGAACCCCCGTTCTCGCCCTATTCTGCCTTTCTCGCCCTTCCCCATCCCCAGCTTGTGTGACTTCAGCCCTCCCCACTGCCATCCCCACGCCCCGACCCTCCCTTATCCCCTCCCTAGTCTCAACCCTCCCCAACCGCCCTTTCATGCCCCCCTTATCCCATCCCTAATCCAATCCCCAATCCCATCCCTCCCTTATCCCATCCCTTCTCCCATCCCTTATCCCTTCGCTTATCCCATCCCTTCTCCCTTTCCTTATCCCACCCTTTATCCCATCCCCTGTCCTTTCGTGCCTTCCCTTACTTTCATCCCCAATCCCATCCCTCATCCCATCCCTACTCTCATCCCGATTCCCCCCCCTTATCCCTTCCCTAATCCCATCCCTCTCCCGCTGCTCTTTCTTGCCTTTCCCCCTCTCCCTAATCCCACCCACCCCCCCACCGCTCTAACGCGTGGAGGAGGAGGGGGAGGAGCACCAGGAGCAGGAGGAGGAGGAGGAGGAGAGGAGGAGGAGAAGGAAGAGGACGTGGAGGAGAGGAGGGAGGAGAAGGAGGGCGCGGAGGAGAGGAGGAGGAGGAGGAGGAGGAGGAGGAGGAGGATTTTTGTTGCTTACACGGCTTCGCACACTCATTTTAGCTCCTACTTGGATCCACATGTGTTCAGGGCACAAAGTGGTCACCAAACCCGGAGTGGCACCAGACCACCATATTTGTGGTTCTCCGAGAGTGTCATTCAACGTGTATTTCCCGAACTCTCGATACCCGCCCTCTTCGTCTTCAATCGTGCCCCTTTGGGGGGTACATATTTCTTCCCTGCAGGCCGGGCCCTGGTAAGCGGCGGGGCGTCCGCGGACCGTCGGCCTGGCCAGCGGCAGCGCTGACCGGCGGCAACCCGACCCCAAGAGGGACGGACGCGACGACGACGACGATGACGACGACGGGGCCGCTGAGGGTAGCACCAGGGCCACGAAGGGCAGCGAGGGGGCAACAAAGGGTGACAGCGGGGCCACGAAGGGCATGCCCGCGACGGGCGCCAGCGAGCGGGGGCAATGAAGAGCACACATATCTGGGGCCAGAAAGGGCGACAGCGGGGCCCCGAAGGACAGTGATGGGGGCACGAAGGCCAGCGAGGGGGCACGAAGGGCGACAACGAAGCCACGAAGGGCATGCATATGGGGCCACGACGGACGAGTGCGAGCGGGGGCCACGAAGAGCATACGATGCGGGGCCACAACGGGCAGCGACGGGGCCACAAAAGGCAGCAACGGGGCCACGAAGGGCGCGAGCGAAAGCGACGCGGAACCCATATGGGCAGCAATGAGCATCGAGAGCGGGCGGAGGGCAGCGAGAGGAAACTGCAGTCCCTGAAGGGCGGTTCGGGCGGGCGGGCGGGCGGGCCCCGACGGGCGGACCGAGCGGGCGGGTCGCTGAAGCGTGAACCCTGCTTGAATCGCAAGGAAGTCTCTAGCGAGAGCGCAACCACGAAGAAAATCTCGAGGTCTAAAACGGAAGCGCGATTCCTGAGTGTCGAAGGGCGGCATCTGAATACATTGTGAGGAAGTCTCAAGCGAGAGCGCGATTCCTGAGCAGATTGCCAGGCAGTCTCAGGCGAGGTAAATTTCTCAGCAAGCCGTGGGGAAGAAGGATCAGGCAGGACATTTCTCAATACAGCTTGAACGTATCAGGCAGGAAACGCTGTAGTTCAGGGGCCCGCCGCCCGTGTCGAGGAGCGGCATCTGAATAACTTGTGAGGAAGTCTCAGGCGAGAGCGCGATTCCTGAGTAGATTGCAAGGAAGTCTCAGGCGGGAGCCGTTGTTGTTCACTCGGGGGCCCGCCGCCCAGTTTGAGGCTCAAGACTTCCCCCGATAAAAACCAGGTGCGAGCCCCGGGAGGGGCACTTCAATGACAAATGCCATGGTTACCAGAGGGGGGAACACCACAATAAACAAGTATTCTTCAGATATGAGAGTTCAGCAACAACAACAACGATCCGCACCGCAAAACCTCACTTCAGTCACGCGCCCAAGGACAGTGAATGACTGTTCGTCCCCCTCTTTCTGAAGCTTCCTTTTAATCCTTCCCTGACCGCGGGTGGTAGTGGCGGGGGGGGTCGTGGGAGGGGGTCGGGTCAGAATACCGCTTTCCCGAGATGATTCGGGGGGAAGTCCCAGGTCAGACTGCCGCCCCTTCAAGAGTCCCGGGGGAGGGAGCCAGCGGGAGTCCCGGGGGAGGTCCCGCCTTCTGTGCGGGCCTTCGCAATGCACAAGTCGCCCCATGCACACCACGCACCCCTGACAGTGAGACATTCCGCGATGCTTGTTGAGGCCGTTTCGGGAGCTCTTGGAAGTGTATTCAGGGCGGCACTTGCGAGTCTTTGGGGGAGCCGTTGGAGATGTCGGGATCGGATCGGCGCCTGGACCCCCTCCCAGGAGCGCAGAACGCGCCAGAAGTGGCGCCAGAGGCGACGCCAACAGGGTCGAAATTTGTCAAAGGGCTCCGCCTAAACACTATCCTCACAACGAAGAAGACGGATCCTGGATGAAAGCGGATCCTGGAGGAAACGGATCCTGGCCTCCTGGCCCACGGGGCTGTTCACACACGAAGTCAGCGCTTCATCCCGAGACGTTGTTTGACGGCCCAGGGGCCCCAGGAGCCCGAAAGCGGCGGACATCCTCGAGAACCGCTCTGGCCGAGGCAGGGAGGACACTGGAGGTCGGCGGGCTGCCTGCGGGGCGCTCACGCGGGCCGACGCGATACGGACAGCTGCCGCGCAAGAGAGCGGGGGGGCGGCAGCCGGACGCACCGTCTGGACCGTCTGGACCGTCTGGACCAGCTGCGCGGCCTGCGACGGGCGAGCTGCCGACGGGACTGCCTCCGCGCGGCGGGGGAGGAGCAGCCAGCAGCGCCAAGGACGCGACCCCGGCGGGCAAGCCAGACCACCGGGCAAAGCGTGATGGGAAAAACGAAGCGGGAACTGCATCAGAGCAGAGCCATTCTCGGTTGCTGGTCCGAGGCTGCCCGCGCGAGCGCCGCGACAGTGGCGGCTGTCGAGCTTCAGAAGATGGCGTCCGGGAGGATCGAATTACGGCAGACTGGGTAAGTGCTAGCAGTCGGATGTCCACGCGGATTCCTTGGTTCGGCGCTGGACCCTCCCTGGCGGCGCCTCTGGCGCCCTGCCCGCGAAATGCGGCAGAGCAATGGGGTCCAGCGACGACCCAGAACATCCGAGCGAGTCGAAACCAATGGAAAAAAAGGATCGAGTAGCTGCTCCGTTTCTTCCTCATTCCTTCACTTGCGCGGCTCAGCTGGGAATGCGGTCGCAGCCCAATGTGTGCTGGAGCGTGCCACAGGCGCGACCTATGATCTTTAGCATAGACATGCGTCGGATATCTATCAATGGAGTGGGTCGGAAGAGACGAAGCAGAAATGGTAGTGGATGATTGCAAAGAGAGGGGGGAGCAGGATGATGATGAAAGCATGGGACGGGAGAGTGAGAGTGAGGAGGAGAGCGAAGAGATGTATGTAGGCCTTTCTGGCCCCGGGACCCCGCGCCGCGCGCCAGGGCCCACGGGGGGGGCCGGCCTCAGCGCGCCGCCGCAACAGAGGAGGCGCGCGTACCCCGTGAACAATATCAAGACCCACTGAACTTCAAGATCTCTAAGCTGAATCACAATATTTACAAGCCGAGCTTCGCGAACCACCACTACTACGAGACCATCCCGCCATCTATGGAGACCTACCGGCAGACGCCATGCCGAGACTGAGAGCGACAGCAACTGTCAAGCGGATGGGGGCCAGTGTAAAAAACGGGCTCCAACCAAACCCAAAGGACATCATAATCGTCCCCACTGCCACCTACAACAACAACAACAACAACAACAACAACAACAACAACAACAACAACAACAACAACAACAACAAGAACAACAATAACAACAACAACAACGACGACGACGACGACGACAACAGCAACACCAACAACACCAACAACAACAGCAGCAACATCAACATCAACAACAACAACAACAACAACAACAACACCAACAACATCACCAACAACAACACCACCAACAACAACACCAACACCAACAACAACACCACCAACAACAACAACAACCACAACAACTACTACGACACCAACCGAACCAGCAGACACGATCCTACGAAGGCGGAGTGCACTGAGGTGAAAAACCTACGCACACGCACCCAATGCCAGAAGACAGGGGACCCCGACCACAACTTCAAAGCCTCCTGCACCACCGATTAAGAACATCGTCGTAGACATACCCACCCGAAACCCGTCCGACTTCCCGCACGGCACTGGCAACAACCGCGACAACGACCAGTACGACAAGTACGCCCAGGACTGCTGCCACAACTGGGGCGCATGCTAATACGAGGTTGGTTCGCCCTTACAAATGTTCTACGGAAGCCAACCTGCAGACCTCAGAAAGCAACAAGATGAGATACGACACCAAAAAACAACGCTCCTAGAGCCACTCGGTGGGCTTCGAAGGCCACCAACAGGAGCTGCGACGGCAAAAATGAAAGCTGCGATGCCCACGCGCAAAGCCAGTAAAGCCACCAGCAAAACTACGACAGCGACCAACTGAGGTTCGAGGGCCACCGGCAGGCAACTTGCGAACCTCACACTACGACAGGGCAGCCGACGACTTCGACTTGGATCACGGGGAGGCGAAGGAGGCATACGAGGATTACAACAGGATGGCAGACGAGGGGGACTACGAGGACTGCGGCTTGAAAAAGAATTAACCTGGCGAAGGACATAACCATATGCTATAGTGAGTATCGCAATTGTGAATATCGTATTCGGTGGCGCTCCCTACGGGGCCACAAACCGCGCGAGGGGCGCGCCGAAATGCACGGCGGGGTACACAACGCGAACAAAAACGATACGTCCCAGCACGAGACACTGAGCGCGGGTGAGTTTGAGCGCGAGAAAATCCGATTGTAAATGAGTCTGCGTGCGAGTGAGTGAGTTTACCTGCATAGATGCAAGCATGGCTACACGTAGTGCAAATGCATATGAACGTGAACGTTTGGGGCACGCCTGGCTCTCAGCACTCGCGGCGCTGAGCGTGTCCGCCACAGGGAGCTCCCCCAGAAACCCCGATGGCAGCGCCAGCGCGCCTGCCATCGGGGAGCCCCATCGCCTGTCTTCAGAGCCTTTCTTCAGAGCCCATCGCCAAGCATACACCCGCTGACCCAAGTGAAAGACGTGGTCTTTGTGCAATGTTGCCAGGCTGGCTGTCTGGACATTCTGGCGGCTCGAGATCCTGAAAAACTCTCGGCGGTGCACATGCTCGCGGATGGAGACGCCCCGGGCGCGCGCTGCAAGCGCTGCGCCCCAGCCCCAGTCCCGCTCGCCTCCTCTGGAGAACGAAACCTGGCCAGGCGACCATGGCACGCGCTCGCGAAGGTTCGGCAATTCCACTGGCGCCCTTGGCCACACATGTCCTCCGTCCCCGTTCCCTTTCCTCCTCCTCCTTCGTGTCCATCGACAAAGCATGAGAAACCATCCGTCCACCTCTCCCTCCTCATCCTCCTCCCATGCCTAGTTGAGCTCGATCGAGAAGACACCCACCTGATCCTGATATGAACTATTGGCCCTCTTCTTCCTAATACTCCCGGCCCCGCCCTGCCCAGCAATCACCACCTGTTGCGCCAGTAGCCTCCGGGAACCCTCCAGCACTGTGACCTCGGCGCGGGCGGCAAATGACACGGCCCTGCCCGGCGTGGTCGGCACATGCGGTAGTCCAAAGACAGGGGGGAATGGGATATGGAAGAGAGGACAATGACGATGACTGAAGGACGAGCATATGACAGAAACAAACCATAAGTAAGGAATGAAGGAAGGGAGACACGAGAGCCACGGAGTAGGAGAAGGAACACCGAAAATTAGCAAGGCGAAGGACCTAACCATATGCAGCTGTTAGTATCGCATCAGTGAGTATCGTCTTCGGTAGAGCTCCCCAAGGGGCCACGAAGCGCTGCACTGCGTAGAGGACACGCATGCGGGCACCGCCACTGAGGCCTTCGGTGTAACTCCCTATCGGGCCATGAAACGCTGTACTGAGTGGGGGAACCGTTTGCAGACACCGCCTCTGAGGCCTTCGATGGAGCTCCCGATGGGGCCACGAAACGCTGCACTCGATGGGGGAACCGCATGCGGACACCGCGACTGGGGCCTTGTGGGAGACTCCCCATGATGCCACGAAGCGCTGTAGTGGGTGGAGGAACATCATGCGGACACCGCCACTGATATCTTCGGTGGAGCTCCCTATGGGGCCACGAAGCGCTGTACTGGGCCGGGGAACCGCATGCGGTCACCGCCATTGAGGCCTTCGGAGGAGCTCCTTATGGGGCAACGAAGTGCTGCACTGGGTGGGGGACACGCATGCGGACACCGCCACTGAGGTCCTTCGGTATAAGCCCCTATCGGGCCATGAAACACTGTACTGGGTGGGGGAACCGTTTGCGGACACTGCCACTGAGCCCGCTGGTAGAGCCACGAAGCGCTGTACTGGGTGGGGGCACCGCGTGCGGACACCGCCACTGAGGCGTTTCGTGGAGCTCCCGATAGGGCCACGAAGCGCTGTACTGGGTCGGGGAATCGCATGCGGACACCGCCACGGAGGCCTTCGGTGGAGCGCCCTATATTGGGCCACGAAACGCTGTAATTCGCGCGGGGTCACATGCGGACACCGCCACTGAGGCGTTCGGAGGAGCTCCCGATGGGGCCACGAAGCGCTGTACTGGGCCGGGGAACCGCATGCGGACACCGCCACTGAGGCCTTCGGTGGGGCTCCCTTTGGGGCCACGAAACGCTGTACTGAGTTTGGGAACCGCACGCGGAAACCGCCACTAAGGCCGTCAATGGAGCTTCCGATGAGGCCACGAAACGCTGTACTGGGCAGGGGAACCGCATGCGAACACCGCCGCTGAGGCCTTCGGTGGAGCGCCCTATATGGGGCCACGCAACGCGGTAATGCGCGCGGGGTCGCATGCTGACACCGCCACTGAGGCGTTCGGTGGAGCTCCCGATGGGGAGGCGCGCACGAACATGCCGCGACGCGCTGTATCTTGTGGGGGAATCGCATGCGGACAGCGCCACTGGGGCCGTGGGTGGAGCTCCATATTTCGCCACCAAACGCTGTCGTGGGTCGGGGAATCGCATGCGGACACCTCGACTGGGGCCTTGGGGGGAGCTCTCCATGAAGACACGAAGCGCTGTAGTGCGTGGGGGAACATCATGCGGACACCGCCACTAAAGCCTTCGGTTGAGCTCCCTCTGTGGCCACGAAACGCTATATTGGGTGGGGGAACCGCATGCGGACTCCGCCACTGAGGCCTCCGGTGGAGCGCCCTATGTGGCAGCGCGACGCTGTATTGGGAAAGGGAACTGCATGACACCGCCACCAACGCCTTCGGTGGAGCTCCCTATGGGGCCACGAAGCGCTGTACTGGGTGGGAGAACCGCATGCGGACACCGCCACTGAAGCCCTCGGTGGGGCGCCCTATGGAGCCACGACGCGCTGTATTTGGTGGGGGAACCGCATGCGGACACCGCCGCTGGGGCCGTGGGTGGAGCACCGTACGGGGCCACGAAGCGCTGTACTGGATGGGGGAACCGCGTGCGGACACCACCACTGAGGCTTTCGGTGGAGCTCCCTGTGGGGCCACGGCACGCTGCCCTGGGTCGGGGAACTGCATGCGGACACCGCCATTGGGGCCTTGGGGGAGCTCCCGATGAAGCAACGAAGCCCTGTACTGGGTATGGGAACCGCGTGCGGACACCGCCAGAGGCTTTGGTGCAGCTGCCCATAGGGCCTCGAAACGCTGCAGTCGATTGGGGGACAGCATGCGGACGCCGCCACTGAGGCGTTCGGTGGAGCGACCCCTGTGGGGCCACGAAAAGTTGTACTCGGTGGGGGAACCGCATGAGGGCAACGCCGCCACTGAGGCCTTCAGTGGAGCTCTCTATGCGGCCACGAAACGCTGTACTGGGCAGGGGAAACGCGTGCGGACACCGCCACTGAGGCCTTCGCTGGAACTCCCATGGGGCCACAGAAAGTTGCACTGGATGGGGGAACAGCATGCGGGCACCGCCACGCTCTGGCTGTAAACAGATACGACGGGAGGGCACCAGTTGTAATGCGTCCTCTCCTACTGCAGCATGGCAGCCCACCTGCGACGCCTCCAGTCGCTGGGCTGGGGTTGTGATTATCTGGCAGGTTTGATTAAGATTACGAGCGCGCGCCGTCTTGCTGACGACCCATGGATTAGCTGCAGCTGTGCCAATACATCGCAATCCGAACGACTTGCCGTCCGCGCCCCCCGAGCCGCCGACTGTCCATGAAGTCTGGCTTACGCCTCCGATGGCGCAGCCAGAAGCCAGGGTGGTGCTCGCAGTCGTGTTTCATCCTGCGACTGCGTGCGACACCAGGCGGGTACGCGACGCGTCATTGCCTCATGCGGCAGAGTATTCAGGGTTCCTCCTTGCAGCTCGCCACGCGTTTCAGCACCGCGCGGCGCGTGTTGTTCGAAGTGGGCTCCCTGCTTGTCGCACGGACAGAGTGTTGTCGGTTGAGGTGTTCGTCGACGGATGCGCGACCAGCTTATCAGAAGGGAAGGAACTGCTCGCGGCTCTGCGACCCATTGCAGGCATAGAAACAATGGAACTCTGTTATGTGCGCCGCGAGTTCAATGCCGATGCCGACGACGTCTGCAATGCTGTACTTGAGATGGTGGACGCCGGCGCACCCCAGGACGCCCGCGAACACTGCAGCAACGAACATGTGAGTTCTTAGGGCCGGTACATCGCTTCCCGACGAACGAGATGCTTGTCGCCCTCCCAGCCTCCTCGCCGTCCAGGGTGACCCCCCTGCTGGGTGTCCCTCCTGGCTAGCTCTCCCGGCTCAGCTGCTCACTAATGCGCTGCCTCCAAGCCTTGCGCTACTCTGTCTTCTCAAGTCGGCCTGGCTCAGCAGACTGCATTTGAACCATGTCGATGGCTTTCCAAATACAGCTCGACAGGCCCATCTTGTGGATCATCCGACTTACCTGACGCAGCCCCGTCCAGGCAAGTTCCGTTGGTGACTCGACCGATGACGGCACACCAGAGGATTGATTCACCGAGCCTGGCTGCGATAATCTCTTTGGGAGGAAAAGGTCCTCCTCATCCCCCTCTTCGACTCCTCGTCCCGCCTTCCCCGACAACACCTCCGCCCTCGCATCCCCTTCACGTCCGGGGGGCGGCACCTGCCCGATGCTCGGCGGCTGTGTCTGCGGCCTGGTCAGGGTATGCTGGGTGGGCGGCGCCGCTACGGACGCCACCTGCCGGGCAGACCGACGACAAGGACTCCGGCGATGCCGGGTATCTTCCTCCCGTCGTCCCTCCTTCGCATACGCATCCTCCTGCTAGTCGTCTCTCTGTCTCCGCTGCTGATCGTCCTCCTGATATACCTCCCCTGTCCCATCCCTCCTCACCTGCTAATCCTCCATGGTCGTTTTTCTGTCGAAGCGCCAGAAACCGACGGCATTCCAAACTGCCTGCTTAGAGGTATGGGGCAAAACGAAATACTACTTAATCCCATCACCCCTCCAGGCGGAGGTGGTTGAGATCGGCAATTCCATTTCCATCCCCCTTCTTCCCCTTCGGGGCAATGCTTCTCACTGTTCCTTGCTGATGCAATTGCGCCCCTCCCCACCTGACCAACCGACCGGCGACAAACCCTGGTGCAGAGCGCAAATCGCGGCAACATCTGGTACGTGCCGTGGCGCCCCGTGGTGATGGTCCCTAGGTTTCTGATAGGGTGCGCTCATATTGTCCTCTCTGTGCAGGCCTATTACTTTTTCAAAACACAATGTAAGAACTACGCATTGCGGCAAAATCTGGACCGTGCGGTGGCGCCCTATGATGATATCGCACTGGCTTCTGGTAGGGAAGGCGGCGGTGCCCTCAAATATCCGCTGCGCACAGACCCACCATTCCTGTCAACACACATTGCAAAGCACACTGCGTGACAAAAACTGGTTCATGCGCGGGCGCCCTGCGATCATTTTGCGTTGGCTGTTGACTGAGGGGCGGCGAGGGGGCGCTGTCCAGGCTCACGATCTTTGACAACAACACATGCAAAGTGCACGCTGCGGCAAAGCCTAGATAACGCGCGGGCACGCCGCGATCACGTTGCATCGGTTTTTGATTGGGACAGCGGGGGTGCCCTCAGATCGTCTGCTCTTGAGCTCAATGGGATCGGGGCACCAGGCTGTGATGCTGCCTATCTGCTGGGAGAACGGCTGGCAGTGAACGACACGGCTTGCAGCTTGGGGTAGTTTGATCACTGTTCCCTATAAATATACACCCCCTCCCCCAGGCGACTGGGAGCCAGACCAGGTCCATGCGGGCCCCCCCCCACCATCCCTGGTAAAAACAATACAAAACACACTCTGCCCCCACCATCAATTGAAACAAAACAATACAAAACACACTCTGCCTCCGAATTCGGAACATGCGCAGTGAACCCGATGCGGCCTCCTCCCACCATCCCTGTCAACAAAAACGCAGAATACACTTGGCGGCGGCGGCGGCGGCTGCGGCGGCTCCGGCGGGGGCAGCGGCTGCGGTTTCTGCGGCGGTGGCGGCGGCGGGAGCGGCGGCGGCGGCGACGGCGGCGGCGGCGGCGGCGGCACCGGTGGCGGCAGCGACTGCGGCGGCAACGGCTGCGGCGGCGGCGATTCGGCAGCGGCGGCGGCAGCGGCGGCGGCGGCGGGCGGCGCGGTGGCGGATGCGGCGGTGGCGGCAGCGACTGCGGCGGCAATGGCTGCGGCGGCGGCCATTCGGCAGCGGCGGCGGCGGCGGCGCGGCAGCGGCGGCGGCGGCGGCGGGCGGCGGCGGCGGCGGCGGATGCGCCCCCAGTAGCTGCCCATTCAAAGACGACTGCTGCAGATGATGCGGCTCGGGCCAGGCTCGGGTGCTACGTATGTGTTGGGAGGGCGGGTGGGAGTGAGCGAGACGGTTTGCGGGCGGGGAGGGGGACTCTTGACCCCTCAACCATACCCCTCCCCTAGATCTGGGAAGGGGCAGACCCAGAAGTTTGAACGACCGAACTTGTATAAAGAAGAAAGAGACGACCTTGGGGTTGCAATACCAGTGCTTGCATGGACAATATGTGTCCAATCCAACGGGATGGGGCGTGGATCCTTTGGATCGACGCCCCGCTCCTGATGGGTGTCGATGGCGGTAGACATCTCTTCTGCTGGAAGCAACCAGTATCACAGGCAAGGTACACGAGGTGCAGTACAATTTGGAGCGCAGCTTTTGCCAAAACAGGCATGGCAGAGTGGCACCCTGAAACAAATGTTACAAGACTCCTCTGCATCGCCTCCGCTGGAAATTGACCAATATATGTTTTACCCGTAGGGGCGCAGTTGTGTCGCGCGTAGCACACAACAACTGAAACGTCGGGCGACCGCGAGCGCGGCGTCGATGCTGCACAACATCAGCAAAGTTGAAGCATTACGTCGAGGCGGCCTTCGTGAATTGAGCCGCACTGCCCAATGGTGGCGCGTGTTGGCAAATCCAACGAACACGTGTGGAATGCTTGAAATCCATGTGCGTCAAGCGTCTGACACGTATTCCGTAAGAGAGTGGTTTGGTCCGCGCGCCAGGACGAGTCGGGGCGCGGTCATCGCCCCATACATGACCCAATATGATACGCGGCGGTCCCATTGCCACTCATGCGTGGCAGCCACGTCAGCCGTCCTGCCCATCACCTCAGCGAGTCACATGTGTTTGGCGGGAACGCACATGCACAGAGAGAGGGAGAGAGAGAGTGAGACGCTGTGATCGGCATGAAACATCTGCATCCTGGCAACTGGCTGCTGAACTGACACGTGATGGACCGTCATCCTGCCCTCCGCTTCACCCCAAACTCCAAACCAAACATGCAGAGAGAAGACACAACGAACGTGAACGCTCGGAATCTAAGCCTTTTTGTCGCCGTGGGGGGTCGTGGAGGAACCAACACCATCCTGAATGGAAGTCCAGGTGCAGAGGTCTGGCTAGAGTTCTGCTTGGACAAGGCCAGGAAGGCTTCAGCCTAGCTGCTACTGGTGCGGCGAGGGCCAGCCGTAGCTTCTGAGCCTCCCCTCGCCTTCTATGGTAGTACGGAGGCGCGCCATTAGCCGTTGGGAGTCTTGTCGTGTCGCGCGGCACACTTGAAATGTTCATCCGACTGTTCTGAGGTGACTCCGATCTGTCAAAGCAACCCCTGCCATTATCGAGGCTCCCGATGCAAACGCCCATGATGGCATGATTGTGGCGTGACTCTGGCGCCGATATCCTCACTCGTCAGGGCCAGGCCCGAGGAATAACGCAGTGAGGCGGCCAGGTCAGACCGACCCAATCCCAAGCCAGGAAAGGGGACACATTTGAGCAGAGCCAATCCCCAGCGGCGCAGGCTGACCGACAAGCGGGTCGGTGACGAAGTCGGTCTCAAGCATGGCGCGTCTGGGTCGTACCGCGGAGCAGCGGTACGCTGGCACGGCTTCTTGGCCATACGCGGCAACAACAGTTCGGGCTCCGAATGGGGGGGCGCGACACCCCCAGGGCACTGGCGGCAGCTTGTTGTTCTCGGAACGTCTCCACAAGGCTACACGTGGTCTTTCAAGACAGCAGGACGGGGCCTTGCAAGTGGCGCAACGCCGCTGGCGGTTTTGTTGCCGCGCCTGGTACTCTGAAACCCAGACGACGGAGCGAGCGGAGGCGAATGTGGGATAATCCCACTGGCCCTTTAGGGCGTAAGGTGGTCTAGGGTGTCTCCTCTCCCAACCCCCTTCTTCCCCCCCTTCGGGGAGGGGTTACCAGTGTCCCTTGATAAAAAACACCCCTTCCTCCAAGCGACTGGGGGACAACCCGACCCCATGCCGACACCATGCGTACCCGTCCCCCCCACCGTCCTTGTCAAAAACAATACAACATACACTTTGGGGCAAATTCTTGAATCATGGTCGTGAGGCCCCCGAGCACTATGTATTGTTTTTGACCAGCACGGCGGAGGTGTCAGCATATCGCCTGCTGTGCGCGGGGCTACAGTCTCTGACACAAAAACAATACATTATGCGCATCGCGGCTAAGTATGGACCATGCGCGGCCATCCCGCGATCATTGTCAAGTGGTTTTTGACAGGGACGGCGGGGGTGGTGGCGCGTGGCCTGATGTGCGCATGCCCACCAGACACTATGCTGGGCATCGGTTTTCGACAAGGATGGCGGGGGCCGACATGTGTTCCCGATGTGTGCAATCACGTGCGCAGGCGCACCTGTGCACTCTGCACGTGCCCCGAACGCGGCGCACCTGGCGCGGCTGGAGTGTGCGGCACACCTGGCGCACTCGGAGCACGTAGCGCATCTGGCGCACCAGGCATGCCTGGCACGCTCGGGCCCCAGGGGTACCTGGCGCGCGTGGCGCCCCTGGCACGCGTGGCGCGCCTCGCCCAAGCGTCGCGCACCTGGGGTCGGCTTTGGTTCCCAGTAGCTGTCCATCCAAAGACGACCGCTGAACATGCTCAGGCTCGGATGTTACTTATGTATAGGGAGGGCGGGTGGGAGTAAGCTCGGCGGCTTGCGGGCGGGTGGGTACCTTGACCCCTCCCCCTACCCCCTCCCCTGGACCTGGACAGGGCCGGTCGCGAGCGCAGGGCGTCCAAAACGGCTTCGGCGAGGAAGCCAAAATCACTGGTGGTACTAAGGTTTTGGCTCAATTTTGGCCTCTCGGGGGGGCAGCCCCAATAGAAGCTCCCCTTTTCTTTCATCGATGTCCTCCAAGATGGCCACAAGAAGCGCCCACGAGGCCCCAAGAGGCCCCAAGATGGCCCCAAAATGGCCCCAAGAGGCCCCCTGGAGGTCCCAAATAGGACCACAAGCGGCCCCAAGGGGCTCCTCCGAGGCACCCAATACGCCCAAGAGCCCCCATAACCGCCAACAGACCCCCAAGACGTCCCAAGAGGCCACCCAGAAGCGCCCAAGAGATGTCCCAAGAGGCTGCGAGAGGCATCCAAGTGACCTCTGGCCCATTTGCTTGCCCTCCTCCTGCTGCTCCTCCTTCCTCCTCCTAATTCTCTTCCTCCCCCTCCTCCTCATCCTCCTCCTCCTCCTATTCATCCTCCTTCTCCCCACTCCCTCCGTAGCCATTTTGGCTCAAGGCCCTCGAGGGCGGCGCACTTGAAAGGGGCGCAGCCGCCCCGAGCCGCGGGGCGGGCCATGTCGTCTTCATTCCGGGCGATGTGAGGATCGAGACCCGCCAGGAGAAGATGGCGACAAAGGTCGGGAGGCGCGATTTCTTCGGCAAGGTCGTCATGGGAAAGGCTTCGGAAAGTCAGGGAGGATGCGAGGTGAAGATGGACGTCATCAGCACGTCAATGTGCACTCTCGCAAGCATCGTAGGTGTTGTGATGATCAAAACCCGCCAGGAAGAGATGGCGGACAAAGTGTGCTCTGGCAGTCCAGACGCGTGGCGCACGCCGCGCGGGGCCGAGGGCCAGGTGGCGCATGCTGCCTTGGCCCGGCAGCACCGGAGGCAGAGTGCCTGGAAAAAGAGTTCGGCGAGCTCGTGGAATTCAGCAAGGTCGCGAGTCACGAATTGTCGCAAGACGGCTCCTGAGTCGCCAGGCGCTTCCCGGGGGGAGAAGCTGCCTCTGTAGGGTTCTTTGCGGCGCCTTGTGGTGAGCTTTTTCTCTTGGGGGCCTGGCTTCGGTTTTGGGGTCCCGGGTCCCCTCGTATCGAACCTGGGGGGGCAGTTTCTCTTCCTGGGACGGGGACGGCCGCGCGGGGCCCGTCCGCGGCGGTGGCCGCGTGCGCGCGGCGGCGCAAGGGGCGTCTCGGCAGGAGTCGCCTGCATGGTCAGTTCCTTCAGCTCCTTCTCCCCACTCCCTCATCCATCCATCCATCCATCCATCCATCCTCCTCCTTCTCCTCCTCCCTCCTTCGCACGGTTCGGCCGTCCCCCTTTTTCGCTGCAGCACTTTTCTGATCACCTCAACTCGCCTGGACATCGTTTCTGGATGGGCTGGTGGGGATACGCGAAATGTCTAGAATTGAATTCTCTTCTGACGGCCCTGGCCTGCCGACCACGCTGTCGCCCGTGGAGAAAGCCTGCACTCAAAACGTGGCGCGCTGGCCATTAGACATCGAGCGGGAAACGTCTCCCCCTTCTCTCGCATGCGGGGCAACTCGCAACTCCGCAGCCAAGATTTGCTCGACGCGCGAGCGGATCGCCTCTGCCGCGCCGCGGCGTAGAAAGTGTTCGTAATGTGTTGCTGTTCCTCTTGGCATGCATGTTTTCGCTAATGCAGACAAGCATCAGTGCAGAATCCTTACGATTACAACGTAACCCTGGCCCTGGCATCCGCTCATGGTGCTAGACTGCTTTCACGGCCAAAGCAACGTCATTGGGACTGGACCGTGAAACAGACGGATTGCTTGCCCCGTCGCGATCCAAGTCCTACAAGAGGTCATACGCATCTATGTGCTGGTACACCACACGATAGCACACCCCGTCTGTGCAACGACAGCACATTGAGCGTCATACCCGATGGTTGTCAACATGATCCGTACACGAAGCTGTAGGATCAACTTGTTGCATCCTCTGTAGCGAGTGGCCCCACAGGCCTGTCCTGATGGACACATCGTCACATGATTCCCACGTCCACGGTCCTGTCGGAATGAGCAGCCACCTCTGCGAATCAAACGAGTGCTGGTCCATAGTGATTCCTGGGCCATTTGAGACGCGACTCAAGTGGGCCACTGAGCAACGACACGCCACACATAACACCTCCTGGTGAAACTGATCTCTAGGACGTAGAAGAACAACGTCGTACGTAAGCTGTGTGCGACCGTCGCGAGCTCATGTACAACGCCGGCCTACCAAACTACCAAAGTATGCCCGCCTGCTGGCATGCAGCAGCCCATCGAGTTTGGTTAGTCTGATCGCGCTCTACTTGCCCCAACGCGCGTGTTGGTAGTATAAGCCAAGGCTGCCGAATCCTGCCGAGGTTCATGTCGCATACATGGCAACTGACGGCCGTTTTCAGAATGTGTGGCAAGCCGCTGGTCCATTCCAACTGCAAACCCACGTTGCCAGGGCGCGGTATAGCCCTCCAATTGACCATCCCCGAAGTGGTACAGGTACAGGAAAGACTGCGTATGCATGAAGACCATACGTTTCAACACGCACAGACTACCCAAACCTGTGTAAATATGTAGTCCCTGCTCATCGACTCTTCGCCCTTTGCCGTCGTCGTCGTCGCCGCTGCGGGTCTCCCACTCCTCCTCCTCCTCCCCTTCCCCCTCCTCCTCCTCCTCCTCCTCCTCCTCCTCCTCCTCCTCCTCCTCCTCCTTTCCTCATCTCCTCCTCATCATCATCATCATCATCATCATCATCATCATCATCATCATCATCATCATCATCATCATCATCATCATCATCATCATCATCATCATCATCATCATCATCATCATCATCATCATCATCATCATCATCATCAGCATCATCAGCATCATCATCATCATCATCATCATCATCATCATCATCATCATCATCATCATCATCATCATCATCATCATCATCATCATCATCATCATCATCATCATCATCATCATCATCATCATCATCATCATCATCAGCACCATCGTCATCAACAGAGGCGACTCATGAGACACATGCGGGGTGCGGTCGGAGTCCTGCTGCATGGCCCCACCGCCCTGCTGCATCGCCCCACCCCCCGCGGCAGCGAGTGCCAGGCCCTGTGTTTGAGCAGTAGATGAGGTAGGTGCGCCAGGCGGCGGGACGGGGACCGAGGGCATGCTCACATCTCCCCCCGCATTTCTCTGCGTCTCCTTGCCATCCACGGGCATGGAAAACGTTTGGCATAAACATTCAGTGGGGGGCAAAAGAGGCGAGGGGCAGGGAGGGAAAAGGGAGACGGAGACGAGCAGCACAGGAGCAAAGTAACCCTCCCTGGCGTCGCGAAAGCGCTGCGTCTGCCGCGCACTGCGCAATGCCCCGCAAAGACGCCGCTGTCAGGGACCGCCGCGCGCGCGCTACCTCCAGGGCGGCAAAAACGCGGCGCCCGCCGCGCCTTGCGCCATGACCCGAAAGACGCCGCGCTCAGGGACAACCCCATTCGCACCCCCTCTGTCGTCGAACAAGAGCTACGCCGTGGCCCGCATAGACGCCGCGCTCAGGGATCACCCCTCGCGCGCTTTTGTCGTCGAGAAATCGCCGCGCTCGCCGCGCCCTGCGCCATGGCCCGCATAGGCGCCGCGCTCAAAGACCACCCCCTGCGCGCCCCTTCTGACGTTGGGAAAATGCAGCGCCTCCCGCGCCCTGTGCCATGCCCCGCATAGACGCCGAGTTCAGGGGCCACCCCCTGCGCGCCTCTTCTGGCGTCGAGAAAGCGCCGCGCCTGCCGCGCCCTGCGCCATGGCCCGCATGGGCGCCGCGCTCGAAGGACCACCCCCTGCGCACCCCCTTCTGGCGTCGAGGAAATCCCACGCCTGTCACGCCCTGCGCCGTGGCCCGCGTAGACGCCGCGCTCAGGGACCCCCCCCTGCGCGCCCGCTCTGGCGTCGAGAAAGCGCCGCGCCTGCCGCGCCCTGCGACGTGGCCCGCGTAGATGCCGAGCTCAGGCAGCACCCCCTGCGCGCCCCCTCTGGCGTCGTGAACCTGCTCCGCCTGCCATGCCCTGCGCCATGGGCCGCATGGACGACGCGCTCAAGGACCTCCCCCTGCGCGCCCCTTCTGGCGTCGAGACAAAACCGCGCCTGCCGCGCCCTGCGCCGTGTGCGCCATGCCTTTCTCGCGTCGAGACAGACGCCGCAGTCAGGGGCTGCCTCGTGCGCGACCCCTCTAGCGTCCGCGCCCTGCGCCATGGCCCGCAGAGACGCCGCTGCGCGAGACCACCGCATGCGCGCTACGCTTGGCGTCGCGAAAACGCAGCGCCCGGCGCGCCCTGCGCCATCACCAGAAAGACGCCGCGCTCAAAGACCACCCCCTGCGCGCCCCCTCTGGCGTCGAAAAGATGCCACGCCTGCCGGGCCCTGCGCCATTCCCCGCAGAGAGCCGCGCTCAAGGACCACCCCCCGCGCACCTCGCACGGCGCCGAAGAAGCGCTACGCCTGCCGCGCCCTGCGCCGTGTACCGCGTAGACGACGCGCTAAAGGGCCGCCGCCTACGCGCCCCCTCTGGCGACGAGGAATCCCACGCCTGCTGTGCCTTGCGCCATGGCCAGCATAGACGCCGCGCTCACGGACCACCCCCTGCGCGTGCTGTGCCATGGGCCACGTAGACGACGCGATCAGGGACCACCCCCTACGCGCCCCCTCTGGCGTCGAGAAAGAGCCGCGCCTGCCGCGCCCTGCGCCGTGACCCGCGTAGACGCCGCGCCCCAGAGACCACCCCCTGTGCGCCCCCCCCTGGCGTCGAGAATGCGCCGCGCCAGCCGCGCCTCGCGCCAGACCCGCATGGGCGCCGCGCTCACGGGGCACCCCCTGCGCGCCCGCCCTCTGGCGCCGAGAAAAAGCAGTGCATGCCGCGCTTTCCAATCCTGGCGCGCATGGGCGCCGCGCTCAGGGACCACCCCCTGCGCGCCCCCTCTGGCTTCGAGAAAATGCCGCGCCCGCCATGCCCTGTGCCATGCCCCGCGTAGACGCCGCGCTCAGGGACCACCCACTGCGCGCCCCCTTTGGCGTCGTGAACCTGCTGCGCCTGCCGTGCCCTGCGCCGTGTACCGCGTAGACGACGCGCTCATTGGCCGCCGCCTACGCGGCCCTTCTGGCGTCGAGGAGAAGCCGCGCCTGCCGCGCCCTGCGCCATGGCCCGCATGGACGCCGCGCTCAAAGGACCACCCCCTTCGCACCCCCCCTCGCGTCGGAACAATGCCGCGCCTGTCGCGCTTCCCGAACCGGGCACGCATCGATGCAGCGATAAGGGACCGCCCCCTGTGAGTGCGCGAGAGTGGCTAGGTCTGCGCCGGCGTGCATGCGCGTGCGATATGCGCCAGGCTGCACGTGGGCGCGCGTCTCATGTGGGCGTCCACTATGTGGCGCAAGCGCCCCGGTTGCATGACGCAGTGACCTTGCCGGGCGTGCACCTGCATGCCGCGCGCGCGGGCGATGAGAAGAAGGAGGAGAAGAGCGAGGGGCAGGAGGGGAAGGGGGCGCGCGGACCGCACGCCACCAGCAAGAGGCAAGCCTCGAGCTGGTGGTCCGGCAGGAGGGGAAGGGGGGGGGGAACGGGCGCGAGGAAGACGCGGGCCCGATGCCGGTGGGCGGGGAGAAAAACTATCAGACTATCAGAAACCCACGAAACACAAGGGGAAAACAAAAACAACAACATTGTAAAACACTCCCCCTAATTCCTGCCAGTAAACCCGGGCGCGCTGGGTCGAGATGCGCAGAAGAAACATTAATCCGTTTCCTAACGCGGCCTGAACTCACGCGCCGCGCCTGGATGGACGAACGTCGTAGCGTCGTTGCGCAGCAGACGCGTCTCACATCGTTCCCGAAGTTGTGCCGAAACGCAAATGTAGCCGATCCCCGCTGGCGGGTAGCGCACGTCGCCATCGCGAGTCCAGTCGCTGCCCTCGAGGTCGTCGAAAGTAGCGACCGCCGCGGTATTCTATTCGCGCAACCCTCTAAAGAAACAACTCCTCGGTTATCGCACCCTGTCATGGCGTGGGGCCCCATCGAATCAAGCACATCCGTTGAGCCGTCTCCGATGGCGCACTGAGCGCCTAAACCAATCTCCTCCCGACGACCCACGCCTATCTCGCACTCGCCAGGTCCTGAGCCCCTCGTCGCATGCACGTGGCCGTTGCCGATGAAACAGGACTCGCCGCACCAATTCTCGCCGATAGAACAGCAACGACCTTCATCCCTGAAGCCGCCAATTTCGGCAGGGCGAAGACGGTGAACCAAAATCGCCAACCTGTGCACCCTGTTATGCGAGTCGCCCAGGTGAAGCGAGTGGCCACGGAGCGTACTTCCCGAAACGAGCGACGAAGCCTGTCGTAAAATCTTTCAGAAGAAAAAATATACCACGCGGGATCGACATAAATGAACAGACGGAAGCTTGTGTTGATACTATGTTGGCGGCCGGGACGGCCCTTCAGCTCGCGCGGTCTGACCGTCTTCCTCCTCCCCTCCACCAATATGGGCCCCGTTGCTTGCGTATGTCAGCCGACCCTACGCGATGGCCATCCCGGTCACCACCTTCACTGCACGACTGGTCTTCTGGCTAATGGCTCAATCCGCCGGCGTCCTGGTGATGCTTTGTAAGAGCCTCTGCCCGCGGAAATTGGTGTTCCCCCATCCAGGCGTTGAGCCACGCCCTCATGAAGCCTGAGTTTGTGAAGCGTATTTTGCTCAAACTGTCGCACTGTTGGCCACCGCGCCCTGCCCCGTGTCTGGTGCACGAAATCACTCGCTTTGCGAGCCCCATACCGACCGCGAAACTCACCTATGCCACCACCTCCACCTCGTGAACTTGCCCTCGAGCCCGCGTGCTTTAATTGATTCGCCCCAACCGTAAGAAACCATAAGCGGCCATCCACCCCACGAGTCACATCACCAACCTCTCCACCAATTCGCCCCTAGCAGCTTCAAGCTGTAAAGCTCAAGGGTGCTTTCAAATTCCCGCGCCTCCGCTGCTTCTATCGTGCCAGGGCGCTGTCGCCGAGCTCCAAATCGAACTCTTCGCGCGCATGGTGCCTCGAGTCCACCTCCCTGGGTCCCGAGCCCGCTACAGTCGACATGGTGCACAGTAGTTGGAAACATTATGCTGAGACTGTTCCCATAATCCTTCGACGCGATTGGGTCAAAATGGTGATGATGATAATGATGCGTGTGATGATGATGATGATGATGATGATGCTGATGCTGATGCTGATGCTGATGATGATGATGATGCTGGTGAAGATGATGATGATGATGATGATGCTGATGATGCTGATGATGGTGATGATGATGATGATGATGATGACAATGATAATGATAATGATAATGATAATGATAATGAGAATGATGATGATGATGCTGATGATGCTGATGCTGATGCTGATGCTGATGCTGATGCTGATGCTGATGCTGATGCTGATGATGATGATGATGATGATGATGATGATGATGATGATGATGATGATGATGATGATGATGATGCGTGTTATGGTGATGTGGATCGTGATGATGGTGGCAATGGTGGTGATCATAGCGATGGTGCGGGGTGTCCTGGCTCCTGCGCGGGGTGCCCATAGAAAACAATCATCTCACCTATGTGAGGAAACATGTATCCGAGAAGGCATGTTGCCGTTCTGTGGCACGTGGTTGTAGCTTCGCGCGTGCGTGCGAGGTGGGGGCATGTACAATCGAACTTCGGCGGACCGCCTCGGTATATAGGGCAGCGGTGATGTCTTGACTTTGGGAGGGAGGGGAGAAAGGGAAGGGAGACGGAGATGGAGCGGCGAAAGAGCAGGAGGCTCTCAAATGCAGCTTGCAGCTGGCACCGTGAATGTAGCAGTGGTGCCAGCGCGCGGACGACGCTGTGTGACATCTCCGTAAGGAGGGCAACTGAGGAATGCGCAGGGCCCCACGCGGCGGTCACGGCGGCCACGTAGGACCATCACGGCCAATGGGGAGCGCGAAAGATGGGGAATACCCAAGACGGTACGCAGCGGCGACGGCGGCGACACGCGACCCTTAGAGCCAGTGGGGATCGCAAAGTGTGGGGAATGTCCAAAGCCCCAGGGGTCGGCGACGGCGGCGAGAAGCCTTTCAGGGCCAGTGGGGAGCGAGAGGCGCTGGGAAGGCAAAAGGCCCCACGCGGCGGCGACGGGCAAGTGCTCAACCCCGCCTTTTACAACACAAGTGAAACATTTCAGTGCAATCGCTGCTCAGTGAAAAACCTCATCTGCTCAGTACCTGCCATATCTTCTGGAGCGGAAGGGTGAGGGGGAGGAGACGGACAAGGAGAAAGAGATGATGTAGAAGGGAGGGGGGTTAGAAGGCTGACGCCGATGAGGCGGAGGACGAGGAGGACGAGGCCGACGAGGTGGCAGAGGGGGCGGAGTGGGAGGCTGAGGCGGACGCAGATGGGGAGGGGGGAGGCTGAGGCGGTGAAGGGGGGCAAGAGATGGTGGGCGGAGTCGCCCCCCACCTCGCCCACGTCCCTGAAGCCGCACACAGAGCAGGGACCCTCTGTTTCGCGCCAGCGGCGGGCGCTCAAGGCACCTACGCCATGCGCGCCGCCGTGCGCGGGCACGGGCCGGGTCTGTTCATAGCGGAAGAGCCCCACGCCACCGTCGCACGCCGCTCCGTGTATCCACCGCTTGGAGAGCGGACGGATCTGCGGGGATCCCCCTCCTCCCCCTCGTCCTCGTCAACTACCTCATCCGCCCGGCTCCAGCCGAACCGCCGCTAATCTGCCCCACCTCCACGTCTCGCCTTTCCCATCCTCCTGCCATCCACTCCTCCTCCTCTCCCCTCATGCCGCACCCCCATCCCCCTCCCCTTCCCCCCAAAGCAACCGCTCCAAGCTAGGCACGAGGGAAAGGTCCTGGTGACCTGGTGGAAATCTGGACCCCGGGACATTCACTCCCTGGCGCCTGTCTTTCATCCTGGCGTCGTTGCTTGACAATCCCAGCGCCTGAGGGCCTAGGGATACCGAAAGCGGCGAACAAAACTGCAGGAGGAGGAGGAGGAACACAATCCTTTCAGGACCCCTTCCCGTCATGCCGATAGGCCCTGGCAGAAAGGCAGATGCCCCACCCCGGCGGACGCCCCTGCACGCACAGCCGCTAGCGGCGGCGGCGGCCACCGCTGCGGCTCCTGCGGCCGATCCAGCCGTCTCTCTCTCTGAGTGCTCCCGGATGGGAAGCGGCGGGGAGGGACGGTGGTGTCACTCTCCCTCTTTGTTCCGCTTGTCAAACTCTGCGATTTTCAACGTCCCAACCTCTGCACCGGGAAATGGCGGTCGGTCGACCCTGGTCCTGAAACAATCATGGATGGGAAGGGGGTCAGGCAGCCAGGGCTCGGGGGTCCAAGCAAGCCGTGCCCGCGGCGGGGGAGCAAGGGGGGTGGGGGAGGAGAGAGCGCGCCGTGCCACGGTTGTGTGACGGCAAAAGAATCAACAAAGTGGATCCCCTTCGTGCTCGACCTTGCGGTTCCCTCCCCCTTCTCCCTCCGGATTCAAAGTTGGCTTCAGAATCGCGCGAACCCTGGGGGGGACTTATTCTGTCATCGCACGCATGTGCCGCCCAACGCCTGCGGCCTAGACTAAGGGGTAAGAACGAAGTCATGGGGTCCACTTCTCATGACCTTGCGGAAGGGCGAAGTGTTACATGGAAGGCACGGCAAGTTGACGTCGCAATGACGTCGGCGTTGGTTCCTGACACCGCATGGATAGTTCACCATCGAACGATCGCGGCTTACCAGTAACACATACTGTTTGATGTAGGTCGATTCTGGGCCACTCTCAGCGTTCAATCTAAACGCCCGCGCAGGGGTCGCCACCGTGTCAGCGTGACGTGGCGCGAACCTACCGTACTTGGACACAAGACTGCGCTTTGGAACTTATAGCCAAGTAAGAGCACGCTCACTAGGTTGCAGATTTGCCTCGGCGCTGGCACCAATACTCCGGGTTGCGCCTTGTGACACGCCCAGCCACGAATGCTCCATGAGTTTTTTGACACGCCCCCTCCAAGAAGGCTCCAGGAGGCCTGCAATCCAAGAGGCCCCGAGGAGGCCAAAAGCACGGATTTTCCTAATTGGGTATTTTAGTTGTCTTCGCGTTCTCGCTGTTCCGGGTTTCCGAATAGGCAAGGCGGCCCCCACGACCGACGATACCCATCCCCAACTAGGGCAGGCTCTCTCTCGCCCTTGCGCAGCCTCACCACGCCCGCACGAGCGTCACGCACGACACGAAGCGAGGGCGAAACCGATTTGGCGGGCGGGGCACTCGATTTCCACATCGATTTCACCCGCCCAACATCCCGTGTCATACGAAAGAGGGAGGCCGGCCGCCGCGCCTGGATCTCCTGCGCCCACGGCTCTTGCTGCGCGCTTTCTCCCTGCCTCTCTTGGATGGCGACCTGGGCTTCGGGGGGGCAGCCGGCCGGGCCGGCTGTCTGAAGCTCAGGGGCCACATGTCTTTTGTAGCAGACCGCTGTAGCAAACGCGCGCAGTTAGAAGTTGCAAGCGGCATGAGGGGTCATCATCATCATCTGGTGGCGTGGGGCTCAACCATCTTACTTGTGAGGGCCACCGAAAGGGGAACTGCGCAATGCAGATGGGCAACTCAGCACAGCGTTTGCCAGGTACGCTTGTTAAAGCAGTTGTAGCAAGGCCAATCGCAAGCTGGGAGACAGCGACTGGCAAGACACGGCGATGGAGGCTGCATTGCCATCCTGAACCAGCTGCTGGGACACGGCAAATCACCTAAGAAGAAAGTGATCATAACCACGGCCCAAACTCGAGACCCCCCTGAACACCGACCCTGCCTTCATGCCCTCGCTCGCCTAGTCAGACATCCCAACGATCATAGGCCCCATGTGCACCCCTCCCCGCCACTTGCCCATCGCCCCCGACGTGGACCGGTCTGCTTGAAGCGTTCTTCCCGCAACGCGAGCTGGCCCCCAGAGTACATCGTGACGGCTCAATCTCAAGAACGGTGCTTGAAACATGTGTCGCTGAGATTGGTGGGGGCTGCAGTAACGACTTTCCCTCCAAGGGACTGGCTGCAGTTCCCTGACGTGGTAATATGTTCCATGCCATGGTGGAACTCGCATAGGCGACGCTAGCTCTGTGGCTGTTGGAAACCGTTGCATGCCGACGTCCCAAGCATGCAAGACCTCTAGAAACGTTGGCAGCGTGCTGCCTCGCCAACCGCCCCCCATCGACAACCCGTCCTGGACCAAGGACGCGACCACGCAACCCTATCCCTTTACCCTGTACCTGCCCACCGGATGCTATGAGCTATGAGCTTTCGAAGGGCGCAAAAGTCTGGATACCGAGTCTGAGTTTGACACGACCACAACAGGGCCTGCGGCAATAGGGGTGAAGACAATTTCGGGCCGCGCAGTCCGACTTATGAAACCATGGGAGTGAAAAGCCGTCAGGTTCCTTCTGCTTCGCTATAACTTATGAAGGTGCCACGAGAACGTGCCAGGGAACCAGATAAAGATTCCTGGCCAGTCCGGCTTGCCCACGAACGCATTCGATTTTATACATAGCAACTATCTGACACCTGACCTTCAACTGAACACAATCCTGATCGGCAACTTGGAGCCCAATGCCGGCGAGGATGATTCCCAGCGATTGACAAGATGGAACACTCGCCCACACGCGCCCTGTAGAGAGAGCTCCTGTGACTACTGTGAAACCTCTGGCCGGATTCGCCGAGCCCGCTCCAAAGGCGGGAACGAAGAACTCCTCCTGCACAGAAAAAAAAATACTCAACCTGCAGAAAGGTAAGTTCTTGAGAAGCGCCCCTCAGCGAATGCAATGATCAGGGGAGCCGATGGGAAGCGTCGACGGGCGGGCCAAAGAACTTCCGCACCTCTGCACGGGGCCTTTCGCGCCGAGCCAGCCTGCGAATGCCGGACGGTGAAGGGATGGGCGGTCGCCTCGGCGCAACCACCCCTCCTGTAAGAACAAAACTGTATGACCTCAAACTTTCGGAACTCCGCCCAGCCTGACACGCTGAGCGCGCCAAAGGCGGCGCAGGAGGCGCCGCCAGCGGGGTTCCAGCGCAGATCCAAGGAACCCCCGTGGAGCTCAGAATGATCATGCTTATGAAACTCTCGACGCTTCTCGTAACCCCACCAGCCCATCCAGAAACGATGCCCGGAGGAGTTGCCTCGATCAGGGAAGTGGGCAGCACGCAGGGGAGCCTCTTAGAGCGTCTTGAGGGCCTCCTGGCGGACCCGGAGGCCTCTTGGAGGGTCGTGGGTGCCTCGGGAAGCTTCTTGGGGCCTCTTGGAGGCCTCTTGGGAGCCTCTTGGAGGTCTCCTGGAGCCGTCTGGGCGCCTCTTGGTGCCCCCTGGGGGCGCTCTTGGGAGCTTCAGGGGCTCGTCGGGCCATCTTGGAGGCCATCTATCAAACGACAGGGGAGCTCCAATGAAATTAGCGCCCCCCCTCGAGAGCCCCGAAAATTGCCTCTTGCGGCGCTCTTGGGGCGCTATTGTAACACTCTTGGGAGCTATTGGGGCAGTCTTGGGGCTCTCTTGGGCCTCTCTTGGGGCCCTGTTGCCCCATCCTGGAGCCACCTTGAAGCCTCGGATAGCCATCAGAAGCGAAAAGGAGAGACAACAAAAACAACGATTGGTTTTGGAAGGATGTTGGTCTCTTCGGGGCTTCCCTGGGGAGCTCTTTGGCCACTTGGAGCCGTCTTGGATATTTCTTGGGGCATCTTGGAGCATGTTGGAATCCATCTTGAGGCATCTTGCGATATCTTGATCCATCTTGGAGGCATCTTGAGGCCATCTTGGGCTCTCTGAGGCGCCCTCTTGGAGCCGTCTTGGGCCATGTTGGACGCTCCGACAGATCGCGACCCCCCCCGTCCAGGTCCAGGGGAAGGTAGGGGGGGGGGGGGGCCAAGCTGCCCAGCCGCCCGCAAGCCGTCGAGCTCAATCCCACCCGCCCTCCCAACACATAAGTAACACCCGAGCCTGAGCATATTCCGCGGTCGTCTTTGGATGGACAGCTACTGGGAACCAAAACTGAGCCCATGTGCGCGACGCTGGGGCGAGGTGCGCCACGCGTGCCAGGCGCGCCACGCGCGCCAGGCACCCTTGGGGCCCGAGCGTGCCAGGCACGCCGCACGCCTAGTGCGCCAGATGCTCCCTCCAGTCGCGCCAGGTGCGCCACGTCCGGGGCACGTGCAGAGTGTGTCAGGCGCGCCTGCGCACGTGACAGCACACATCGGGAAATACGTCGGCCCCAACCATCTCTGCCGAAAACAGATGCCCATCATTGTGTCTGTTGGGCCTGCGCACAGCAAGCCATACGCCACCACCCCCGCCGTCCTTGACAAAAACCACTTGACAATGATCGCGGGGTGGCCGCGCATGATCCACATTTAGCCGCGAGGTGCATGTTGTATTGTGTACTTGTCAGGGATGGTAGCCCTGCGCGCAGCAGGCAATATGCTGACACCCCCGCCGTCCTGGTCAAAAACAATACGAAGTGTTCGCGGGCCTCACGAACATGACTCAAGACTTTGCCCTAAAGTGCACTTAACATTGATTTTTGACAGGGGTAGTGGGGGGGCCGCATCGGGTTGGCCGCGCATGCTCCAAATGGAGAGGCAGAGTGCCGTTTGTATTGTTTTTGACAAGGATGGTGGGGGGCGGGTGGGCATGGTGTCGGCATGGTGCCTGGTTGGCCTCCGGTCGCCTGGGTGAGGGGGTGTATATAAATTCGCCTGCCCAACGGGCCAGAGGCGTGCTAAGATCTCCGGTTACAAAATTACAATGTAACAAATTCGCGCGCGCGAGGCGGCCCCTGGAGGCCCCGACGCGACAAGTACCCCGCCAAAGTCCCGGCAAGTGCCGATCAGAGATGCCGGAGGCCCCCCAGACGGCCCAAGAGGCGCCCAAGACGGCCTCAAGAGAGCGCCTAGTCGGTCCAAGAGCCCTTGGAGTCCTCGAAAGATCGGCTGACGATGCCCAAGATGGCCCCACGACAGCCCAAGAGGCCGCCAAGACGCTTGAAGAGGCCTCAAGAGAGCCTCAAGAGGCTCTCCACGAGGGCCCCAACAAGCAAAGATCGCCCCATCCCCTTCGGATAACATACATTTTTCGCATGTGCGACGTTTCTCGTCTTTTCTGCTTTCCAACGCTCCAAGATGGCCCAAGAGGCCCCCAAGACCGCCCCAATACGGGCCAAAAAGCCTCGAACAGGGCCCCAAGACGGCCCGAGATGGCCCCAAGACAGCCCAAGAGGCACCCAAAATGGCCCAAGAGGGCCAAGAGGCCCCCAAGAGGCCCCCAAGAGGCCCCAAGGGGCCTCCAAGAGGCACCCCAAGAAGCCTTAAGAGGCCCCCAAGAGGCCCCAAGAGGCCCCAACAAGGCCTCCAAGAATATTCAAAACTGCCTACCAGGGGCCCCCAAGAGGCCCCAACACGGCCCCCACGCGGAAGGGCAACATGGGCCGGCGGAATGAGCGAAGCGATTGAATAAGGAACAATGATAAGCCCCTCTCCCCGAAGAGGAAAAAGGGGGGTGGAAGAGGAAACACCCTAGACCACCTACGCCCAGAGGGCTGGTGGGATTTGTTCTTCTCCAACCTCCAGCATTCTCCCCTCCTTTCCACTCCCTTCCTTCCATAGCAGAGCAGACAACTGCATAAGTTTTAACGAACGGAGGCCCGCGCCAGAGGATGCATGGGAGCGGCCGCCCACCCACCCTCGCATACAGAACCTTACGGCTCAAGGGGAGGGGGGAGGGAGGGGAACGGAGGGTACCCCGCCTTCCACTCCCCTCCCCTGCCCCTCTCGTTCCCCCTGAGGCCGCCGTGCCTGTTCCGATCGATCGATCGACCCTCCCCCCGCAGCGCCGGCGGCTGACCGTCCCTTCCGGCGTTCGCCCTTCCTGCCGCTGGGCGACCTGGACCTTTTTCCGGAGGGGATGGACAAATTTCTCCTCCTCCTCCTGCTCCTCCTCCTCCTCTTCCTTGTCTTCCTCCTCCTCCTCCTCGTCCTCGTCCTCCTCCTCCTCCTCCCCATATATCAGGCGCCTGCAAAAAATCGAGGCCGTCAGTTTGTCGCAGTTTTGGCCTCTGGAGGCTGTCATCGGGCCTCGGGACAAACAAACAACTACGCTGGATGAGACACTTGTCATGTGGCAGGGCACGAGAGGTCCAGGGGTCCACGATTCAAAAGATTCGAAACGCGGGATGTTTGGGACCGTACCATCTCGTCTACCCGTGAACGCCCCCGCAAAGGCATACATTGATGGTGTTCCAATTTTTTTGCACAAATTCGGGGCACTCCCACTCCCAATCTTCAAAGCCTCCGCGGCGATCAAAGAGGCCACAACATGACCCGTAAGGCGGGCCAGAGGGCCCAAAATGATCCCAGGAGAGGCCAAGAAGGTCCAACAGGGGCCCGTGATAGTCCGAGAAATCCTCCAAACGTCCCCAAACAGGGCCTGCAGAAAAAGTCCAAGCAGCCGACGGAAAGCCCCAACACAACCGAATAGTGCATTCGCCCCAAGATGCCAAGAGGGGCCCGAGACGACTTAAGGGGGCCCCATCATGAGCCAAAGGGTCCCTCAGACGGCCTCGCAATGGTCCTCAGGAACCTCCCAGGCAAACCAACTCGCAACGCAGGGGTAAAAGACTGGTCTGGTCAAGTTGTGTATATGTGGCTGTACACACATATGTATGTATTTATGTATGTATGTATGTATGTATGTATGTATGTATGTATGTATTTATGTATGTGTATGTATGTATGTATGTATGTATGTATATATATATATGTAAATGCACACGCAACCCCCCAAACACCCATTCATTGTGCATCGGTATTTGACCGCTACATTCGTACTCTTACGGACGATTTGCCAGTTTTGTCATCCGCGCGCGCTCATCCATCTCTCACATTCGTCATGTATCCGCTGCTTATTCCTGCTGGGATCTACTTGGAATCAACTGGACTTGGGACTTTCTCAAGTCAATAACACGCAGATGATATTCGAATCGGAATCCATTTGGACACAGCTAGGGCGGGCATCCGGTCAACTCCACGTAGATCGAAAGTCGACTCCAATTTGAACACGCTTGGAATCAGCTGAATCTGGGACCTGCTCAGTTGCTCAGTTCCAACTAGAGTTAACATATATTCCAATAGGGATCCCACTGGAATCAGCTGGGATGTCGTGATCTGTCCAATTCGAATGACATTTTCTTTGTTAGCGCCGCTCGGAGAAGATGCGCCCGCCCCTTCCTGGCCCGCGCGGGGGCCGCCAAACTGACCGCTCAAAGATCCTCTGAAGTCTCCTGGGCCACCCTGCAAGTCTGGCGCGAAGGGCCCCGGAGGGGGCTTCACCGAGGGTTCCGCCGTTGCTGTTCGAACGGGCCCCCCCCGCCGATTTCGGCGCCCCCCTCGCGCGTGTCGTGGCGCCAAAACGAGCAAACGAAGGTCCCTTCGGAGCAAGTCGCACGCGCCCCAGACGCCAGTGGGCTCGGCGCCGGCGCATGGGGCGCAGCGGCGGACATTGAGGGCCGCGTTTCCGCGTTGGCCCGCGCGCGGTGCCATCGATCAGCGCCGCGCTTTCTGTTCGACGTGGAGGCGCGTCGCGGGGGCGAGGGGCAGCGCGCCCTCGCTCAACGACGCGCCGCTGATTCGGTCAACCGTGCCCAGGACCCAAGGGGGGCGAGGGTGGAGACCATTCGCCTCGCGCCCGCCTGAGAACTGGAAAGAGAAGCCGCGGGGCGGCGCGAAAATGTTGCCGGGGGGCGCCCGGGGGGGCGCGACGACCACGAAATCACGCGCGCGACATGAATGCGGCGCAAATTTGTCATGCCCAATTTCACGCTGATTTTTGTTATGCAAATTTGTCTTGCCATTTGCATGCCGAATTCATGCCGGAATCATGATGGAATTCCTGCCATGATCCACGCCGCGCGTCGCGCCGTCTCGCCGCGCGGGGGCGGGCGCCCGGGGGCGCGCTTCGCCGCCCCGAAGGGTACTCGCGCAAGGCCGACGGGGGCTTCGCCCCGCAACTGATAGGGATCAGAGAGGGACGAGGAGGGGGGGGGGGAGAGGAGGAGGAGGAGGGAGGGGGAGGAGGAGGAGGAGGAGGAGGAGGAGGAGGAGGAGGAGAGGAGGAGGAGGAGGGGAGGAGGAGAGGAGGAGGAGGAGGAGGAGGAGGAGGAGGAGGAGGAGGAGGGGGGGGGAGGGGGACAAGGAGGAGGAGGAGACAGAGGTGGAGGAGGAGGAGGAGGAAGAGGAGGGGGAGGGAGAAAGTGGAGGGAAGAGGGAGGAGGGAGACTGAAATGGTGGATCAGGAGAAGGAGTTACCAGGACTGGAAGGGCGGGAATGGTGGACGACGAAGAGGGGCGGGGGGGCAGGACGATGGGCAGGAATGGAGGGCACCCCAGAAGCACGTTGGCCCGCACGGGCCCCGCAGTGCCTTCAAGCGCACCGGCTGGGCAAGCTACGTGGTGCAACCTATGCGAGGCAATATGTGCGCCGGACTCTACGTGGTGCACGCTACGTGGCGCAATCCATGTAGCGCCCGGGAGTGGTGGCCCAGGCTGGTTTTCGACTGTCGGGCGCGACATGCGGTGGCGGCGGGTCGGATTAAGCCCGCGGGCGCGCGAGGTCGCCCCATCTGACGGCGCAGCGCGGGGGGGGGGCCGTCGCGAAATTGCAATGACAAAGGCAAGCCAGGCCAACGGAAAGAGAAGATGAACAACCTCAGCGTAGATCAATACCACAGGACGACAGATCGCACGCCGCGGCCAAAAGAACGCAAGCGCCCAACCCATGCTGGGAAAGACGCCCCCATTTGCTTTGAAACCCGCAGATGAAAAAAATGCGGAATCTAGTCGCGAGCAGACAAGAGCGCAAGGCGCGAAACGCCCGTCTGCATTCTTTCCGACAAAATGTGCCATGCAATTTCCCGCCCCGTCTCGTACTGGTGCTGTGTGCGCTCGACTCGTATCGTGCATCATAATTGGCCTTCCCGTCGAAGTAGGACGGTCGCCCCGCGGTCCTGCCATTGGCCTGCGACGTCACAGTCGCGGCGAAGCACGTGTAACCGCGTTGGCGAGCTGCGATATGCGCCGAGCCCTCAGCGGCGTTCCAAGGCGTCGGCGCAGACGCTACGCCCGCGCCGCAGGGTAAGCACAGCGGCGAATACTTCGGCATGCACGTCCGCAGCGGCTGGTAGCGCGCAAGAAATCCCGTCGCCATCGTCGCATGGGCCAAGTTCCCCCGCCGGGGCGCCGGCGGGGGGCGTGGCGCGGTCTCGGCCCCGAGGTCTCCGCCGCGGCCATCGCTTCCGTCGCCTACCTTTCTCGTCGCTCTCTTTGGTTCGACGCCGGCCACGTTGTCTGCATCCTGTTGTTCTACCCGCTTGAGCCGGGCGCCTGCGGGTCGCGCCGTTTTCGCGCGCGCCTGACTGAGCGCTGGAAGTGGAGGAACTTCGCGGCGGCCCCCCGCGCTCGAACTCGCGGGCGAGCCCAAGAGGCAGGAGGGGGGGCGTCGGCCATCTGCGACGCAAGAAACCGACGCGATAGAGAGGCCACATAATGAGAATGATTTGTTCGGCCGTCGGAGATAACACCGGCGAAGCGACGCGCATCTTCGACGCGCAGGCGGAAGCCGCGCGGGCCGGGCAGACCTACCCGCAAGCGCCGCGGTGCCAACCACCAGCGACTGCGGCCCCCCCGAGGAGCTGGGCAGTTGCCCGGGAACTCCATGCGCCTTGAAGCCTGTCCCGGGAGCGCATCTAGAATGCCCCGGCCCGCGGGAACTCAGGCGCCCCCCCGCCCCGCCCGAGCCCCTCCAACAACCCCGCGCCCCCCCCCCCCCCCCCCCCGAGCGCATCCTGAAGCGCGGCGACATCTACTGCGTTCTGAAGCTCCCCCGGACACGTCAAGCCCCCACCGAAATCCGAAAACCCTCCCAGACCAGTGGGCCGAAGGCCCCGGGCAACTTCCAGGAGCGACAAAGAACTCACGCAAGAAAGTCGGGCGCATCTCCCGGCGGAAAGACCCGCGGACCAGCGGCGCCGTCCCGCGAGAGCCCGCGCGGGCCCCTGGCGGCCCAGCCCGCCCCCGCCAGCATAGCAAAACTATGCGCGCCCCCAGAAACCAAGCGCGGCTGCCGCCCTCCGCTGCCGGGGTGGCTTCGCCACTGCGGACCGCGGCCAAGCTGCCGCGGACAGCTGCCGCGATGGCGGCGCGCGCTGGGGCGGGGCGCCAGCGCGGCTCGCCGCTCTCGGGCGACGGGCGTCGCGCGGCGGCCGCGCCGCGCGCGCGGGGCGCGCCGATGCGAGCTCCTGGGCTCGACCACCTGGCGGGCGCGGTCGATGGCGGCCCGGGTGGGCCACCCCCGGGGCCACGCTGCTCAGCCCGCAAGCGGCGCGCCCCCCGGAACGAGCCGCGCGCCCGCTGCGCGCGACGGCGGATGGCTCGCGTGGGCCCCGGCGACAGCATCCGCACTTTCTGCCTGTCGGACGCTTGCGTCGCCATCTGGGATATGAGGTTGTCTACGCTGGCGGTCTTAGCGCATGCGTCAATTCAACGATGCACTCCCGACGTGCAACCACGCTGCTTCGACGGAACATCCGCGCGACTGGGGCGATGCGACGCGAGTGGCTTCAGCTGAAATAGAAATTTCCACTTTGACACGCGCGGACGAAGTCAGCCGAGCTACCGCCACGCGGACGAGATGCCCGAGAGATGGCGCGGCAAAGTCGCCGCGGCGAGGGCGAAGCGCTCGAGGCGCGCTGCCAGGGAATGGAAGGGCGCAGACAATATCGTCGGGCAATGCTCGCACGCGACGCGCGGAAAACCGAGATGCTCGCGGGCGTTCGCGCCGCTGGACGTCGAGGGCCCCCCGCGAACCACGGGCAGACCCCTCGCGAGAAGTGCCGCGAACCTTCTCGCCCGCCCCGCGCGCGGCGCCCAGGGGCGGACGAATCGAAAACAGACTGGCGGGCGCCGTCGAGGCCAACCAGCCGGTCCAAACGGAGTTCCTTCGCGACGACCACAACGATCCACCGCGCAGTGGGCCGACAAAAACCAAACCGAAAGACCAGAAACCGGCGCGCAAAATGCATCGGTGACGCGCGCGGTCCGGCGGACTGCCAGAAGCGCGAAACACGCGGGCGCGCGCTGCCAGAAACCGACTTTGAGACGAAGGGGGCTGGCGCCCTCAAGAGGGCGCGCAGGGCTTGCGAAAGCGGGGCAAGAACGACGCCACAAACTCCCCTGGGTGCGGGAAAAATCGCGCGCCCAAGGTCGGCTGCGAAAAGATACAACGACTGCCACTTGAAAACGGGGTGCAGAAAAGGCGAGTCGGATACGGGGGGCCTGGGCGCGGCCCCAATGAAGCACTACGCAGTGCGCGACAAGCAGTTGCCTTCGCATGACTTCGACGAGCGCGCGAGCCGAGCCCGCCGCCCGACATGCATGAACTGCGAGGCTCAGCAAAAATGAATTCGAGATCGGTGAATTCGAACGCAGGGGGGGGCGGCGCATGCCGACTGCGCAAATTCCCGCGCCGCGCGAGATGCGCCGAAAAGAAGCAAGGACGCCGGGGGCCCCGCGCGCGGACTGAGAACGGCCTCGGGCCACGCAGAAACCGAAGCATAGAAAGCAGAAGACAAGACGCATAAGAAGGCCAATGCGTGACATACTGCGCCTCGCCTCTCGAATCGAGACGCCTCGAATAAATCGCGGCAGCGTCGCGCGCGAGCGAGGCGCCCGCGCAGAGCAATGCTAGGCGCGAGCAGCTAAAGCACACTATAATATGGCATTGCAGCGTTGCGCGTGAGCGAGGCGCTCTTGCGAGGCCGCGCCGAGGCGCGAACGCCTATGCCGAATTTGACCATGATTTGTCCGCGCGCGCCGGCCGTCGGACTGGCGCTGGTATCCCCCGACTGCTCCTGAACAGACTTGGACGCGAATGGGAATTTTTCCCAGGGCCATCTTGGGCGAACAAACTAAGCGAGGGCTGGCCCCGATTCGCCTCGGCGCGCCACCCTGCCCAACGAACGACTCATCGAAGTCGGCGTCATGGCCGCCCAGGCGGTTAAAAAAACGACGCGCAAAGTTCGAGAATATCGAACATCAGCGCTGCAAGCTCCACAACTTGAGCATCTCAAGCCGTGGCGAGCGTTTCCTGGTCAACGCGCTGAAATTTCACGGTGCACTGCGCGTGTCGCGCAGAACTCGCCCAAACGACAGGAGCGCGCGCTGCGCCCGCCCCGCAGAGCGGCGCCCCCCCTCGGAGAACGCGCGGGAGAGAAAGGGGGCGATGAAGAAGATATTTGGGCGCAGCTTGGCCAACCGACCAAACTGCATATTCACCTCGCCATGGCACTTTGGAAGCTCGTCGGAGAGAACGCGGGGGGCGACGAGGCGGGGGGGCCGGGGGGGCAGAGGAGGGCGAGGAGGAGGAAGGGGGGGGAGGGGGGGGGAGGGGACAGGCGAGGAGGACCAAGAGAAGGATAGCAGGAGGGGGGGGAGGGGCGCTTGCGGACGAGGGCAAGTAGGGGGAGGTGGCGGCGGCGGAGCCTCTGGGGGACGCGAGTCCACGCCTGCACGCGCATCTGGCCTCTGAGAAGACTGCGCGCGACTGCAGCCATGGGGCCGCCCACTCCGCCGGTCGCCAGGCCCGCCGCAGCCCGCGCTGCCATCGGGGCCGCCCTAGCAGGCCCCCCCCCCCCGCCCTCGCGGCAATCGCCCGCGACATGAAAGCGCAGTCAGGGGGGGCGCCAGACCTCTCGCCCAGACGCGCTCCAAACGGCTAGCACTGTCGAGGGCAAAAACTGGGGGCGGGCCGACTGGCCTCCGAATTTGGGAAGCGCCAGTTTGCTCCACTCCGCGCTCGGCCGATCAGAAAAGACCGGGCAAGGAAGAACGCGAGACGCGCTCCTCTCTCCTCGCGCTGCATCCAAGCGGGCGGGCGCCCCCCCGGGGCAGTCCTGCCCGCGGAACTCGCCGCTCCGCTGGCCGACGCAGCCCAGCGAGAAATCGGATCGGGGGAGGGGGGGGCAGGGGGGGGGGCGCTCTCAGACAGGAGGGGGAAGGGAGGGACGTGCCCAGGCGTGCATGTAAGAGGTCCACTGTGATCGCGGCCTTCCTCTTTTGCGAATTCTGTCTTTCCGCTCGCAGGGGAGAAGCTCAAACGCGGGGGGGCGTTCAAGCGCCAGAGTCTCTGGAAATGACATTGGAGGCGACTTCGCAAGCTTGCCGCAATACTTCAATTGCCTCCGCAATAAATCAATTGATAGTTTGCATGCCTGCGCCGTTGCTCGCGGGTCCACATTGCCTACGCGAGAAACGAACAACGGATGGATAGTGCAAATTATTCGGAGGCGCCTCGCCTGTAAGCCCTCGACTCCATCCGGCTCACGTGAGAGTAAGAGACACGATTCCAACCCATACAACAATTCTGTTACTTTACATTGTTCCGATCCAATATGTATGTTTTCTTCTGTCGGCTCAACTTCGCGTGGTTCCACACAGCACAGAGATGCTGGAAGGCGCCTTTAGCTTCCCCGATCCTCCTCGTAAGCTCGGCGTGCGGATACCTATTTGAACGTAGACGCCCACCGCCGACATCGATTGCGTGATCTTTGCGCTGGATTTCTTCGCCGCCCGGACCATACATGACAACATCCGAACGGATCCTCATCAAGACCGCTTCTTCTCGTTGAGTTCCAATCCGGAAGTCTTCCCAACCATCGCAACTAAATCCAAATGGCTCTGCAGCGCGCCCGGCTTATCCGCGAGAAGCATCGTGCCGTCGGCGTGCCAGGTGTCCCTTGTGACGAGATAATGTGTGGTTTGTGCTTCGGCGGCGCTGTTCATCCGGAGGTCCACGATTCCCATAAGAACGGACATGACGATCATGAAAAGATACGAGAATGAAGGGCAACCTTGAGCAATGCCAGCGTTTTGCGAACGTTATGAAGACGTGCTATGTCTTTCTCTCACAACAGAGTTCAGAGCTGTGAAAATACCTGGAATAATATCGGACTGGGAGCACATAAAGAGAACCAAAAGCCATCTGACGCTTCGCACGCTGAGTACCCCTAAGATAAATCAACAAGGGGTGGCGGACAAAGTAGTCTTCAACCTATCCCGCCACCGTGCCTGGGTTGTCCGTCATAGCTTGGATCCACTGGGAGATCTCTTGGAAGCCTCTTGGAAGCGGTTTGGGGGATGTTTGGGGCGTCTCAAGGACCTCGTGGGGGCCTCTTGTGGCTTGATTCGGGCCGCAAGGGGCCTCTTGGGACCTCTTGGGGGCACTGCGGGGGGGATCTTGGGGCCATCTTCGGGCGGAGGGCTCAACACGTCAGTTCGCGAGGGCCCATCTTGGGGGCTCTTGGGCAATGTTGACCGATCTTGGGCGCCTCTTGGCCCGTCTTGGACGCTCGGAAGACCAAAACGACGGTAATGCTAAAACCCTTTCAAAAACTCATGGAGTTTGACCATCCTGGCCACTTGGGCCGCCCTCCAGGGCCTCCAACTCGACCCATCAGGCGCCCAAGAGTGCTCCAGGGCGGTCCTCAGGCCATCTTAAGCAATGTTTGACATGCATGTCCCGAACAACGCGCGCTTGGCCTCTGTAAAGGCACGCGGGGGACCGCCAAGAGCGCCCGAGAGCGCCCGAGAGCGCCCGAGAGCGCCCAGGAACGCCTGGAACTCTGGGCTGCGGGTCCCTTAAAGCAGATTTGCCCAAATACAAAGAACTCGCAGGGACCTGAGACCACTCCAACTCGTGCCTCAGGGCACGGTGGCGGATCTGTGTGCAAGGATTGTCCGGAATATGTGGGGAGATGTTGGAAGTAGACAGAAGGAGGCGAAGTAGGAGCAGGGCTGATGATGCGGGTTCAGAAGGCGGAGGGTGGTTGAATCATTATCATTACCTTCCTCCTCCTCATCCTCATCCGCCTACTCATTATCCCCTCCTCATCTGTCCTCATAGTCGACCCTCCACCTCAGTCCCCCTCAACTATCACCATCAGACCTCCTCATCCTCCTCAACCCTCAAGCTCATCATCGTCCGACCTAGTCAATCTGCCTCAACCCTCGACTCTCCCCTGAAACCACGAACGTCAACCTTCATGCTCATCCCATTCCCTCCTAGTTGCTAAGCGCTCTCCCGCGGCACTCCTCAGGGAGGCGGCTTGCAGGCACGCCGCCTGTCTCTTCTTCGGCTGCGACTGCGGCTCCGCCTGAGGAACAGATACCAACAGAAAGGCAGACCCCCAGACACAGCGTGCGCATGAGCGCTGATTGCACGCCCTCTTGCGCCTGGGGGGAGGGTGGAATGAGTGAGCTGCTGCCTCCTCGCCAAGAGACATGAAAAAAGGAAATGATGAAGTCGCAAAGCAAAGACGACACTGTTATGAGCGTAGGGGCAGAGTCGAAGGAGGGTTGAGAGAAAGGGGCCTGTCCGCCGTGAGGGTGAGGCGAGGGTATGCGCGGGTATTGGGGTTTGGACCTTGCCCAGACAGCCCGAGGGGTGCCATCAGAACTCACGTCGGGGGCCATGCCGCCAAACCAGCAACCATTCCGACCCCTGGTACCGACTACCCACCGCAAAATCTATCCCCACGACGAGCCCTTGAGACTTCTGCGCTTCAAGCACGCAAACCATCAATACTGCATGCGCCCGCGCGTTACGATCGATCGAGATTTCATGTAACTTATAAAATCCATCCACCCACATTTGTCGGACATCGCGTCGTGATAACTTTGTTCATGATCATGTGTTAAGGTCATGCGTGCCCACCGCCGTCATTCTCTTCGACTGGTCCTTCTGGCCAGGTCATGCAGCCGCACGCCTGCTATTGGGGTCCGCCTGCCCGCCCGTTCAGATCCATCGCGCGCCCGCCCGCCCGCTGGGGTGCTCCCGCCCTCTTGCGTGAAGGCCCGCACGCTGTAATGTCCCGCCTGCCTGTGAGGGTCCTCCCGCTCGCTCGCCCGTCAGTGCCGCCCGCCCGTCCGCCCGAATCCCGCGAGGCGAACCTCGGCAAAACGATCCCCCAGCAAAACTGACTCATGCGAAAACGACCCTGGCAAAAATGCCCGCGGCGAAAACAACTAGACATCCTAGCGTAGGACCCAACCATTTGCAGTTGCGAGTACCATCGTTGTGAGTATAGCTTTCGGTGGAGCTCCCTATGGGTCCACGAAGCTTGAGAGGGGTGTCTCGAAATGGGCGGTGCGGCCGCGTGTGGATATGGCCGCTGGGGCTTTCTGTGGAGCTCCCATGGGGCCACGGGACAGGTGAGGGGTGTGCCGAAATGGGTGGGGCGGCCGGCCGCCTGTGGACACTGCCACTGGGTCCCTCGGTGGAATTGACAGGTGTGCCGAAACGGGTGGGGCGGCCGCCTGTGGACCCCGTCGCTAGGGTCTTTAGTGGTGTTCCAGATGGGGCCACGAGATGTGTGAAGGATATGCCGGATTTTTTTTTTTTTGAGGAGCAGGAGATGGGAGCGGACAGCGATAGTATACACAACGCATGGTCGTCGCAAGGCTGTCCTGCGAACGTGGCCGAAATTCCGGCCGGGGAAGAAGAAGCTACCTGTGACAATGATTGCCCGGGCGAGCGTGCACCCTCGTTACAATCCGTTGCAGGAGCAGCTCCGCCACAGGAGGGGCAAACATATACACTGAAAGGCAAGCGGGAGCAGGGGAGAGAGAGGGCGAAGGAGGAGGGAGGACAACGAGCAGGGAGGGAGGAAGACTGCACAAACGGAACCAACACTCAGCGCAGGTCTCCGCCACTGCTTAGGAGCACGGCCTCTGGCAAAATCGCGCGAACGCGGAGCGATACGAAATACCCCAACATCGTATCGGTGAGACCGGGTGGAGAACAGGGGGCAGGAGGAGGCAGCGGAGGAGAGGGGGGAAGGCAGAGACAAAACTCATGGTCCTTGCGCGTCAGAGGCCACAAAACGCACTGTGGCAGCGAGCGCCAGGAAGCCTCACCCACAAGACAGCGGGGAGGGGGAAAGCACCAGGTGCCCTGTGAGAACGATATACGATATAAAAGTGAAACTCGCCAACACGCATAGGAGGAGGGGAGGAAAGAAGAGGAGGAGAGCCAACGAGCACGACCAGAGCCCCACTAGGAGCAGCGAGGCAACTGCCGAAGCCAGCGGGCTACGCCTGGTGCCGGCGCTTGTGCACCGAGCTCAGGAGCGCCATCGCGGGAGCGTGGCCCCGTGCGCCCTCGCGCAGAAAACCGCGGAAGAGCTCGGCGGCAGGCCCCGCCGTGGGAGTTAATCTCAAACAATTGTGCGTGCGGTACAACGCGTAAACACTCAAGGCGCGGAGGGAGGAGGCCCGGGCGCCGCCCTCAGGAGGTGCGTCGATAAGTATGCGTCGCGTTGCAGGGCGGAGGGAGAGAAATACGTCCAGCTCGAGGTCGTGCGGTGGCCGCTCCAAGCGAAGGATATGCCGGAATGGGTGGGGAGGCCGCGTGTGGACACCGCCACCGAGGCCTTCGGTACAGCTCCTCATCGGGCCACGAAACGCGTGAGGGGTGTGCCGGAATGGGGCGCGGCCGCATATGGAATCCGCCGCGACGGCCTCCAGTGGAGCTGCACATGTGGCCACGGAGCGTGCGAGGGGTGGGCCGATATGTGTGGGGCGGTCGCGGCCGCCGGTTGGGCCTTCGGTGGAGCCGACATGTTGGGGCCGCCACGTGTGGACATGGTCACCGGTGCTTTCGGGAGAACTCCACATGAGGCCACGAAACGTGCTGGGAGTGTGCCGAAGTGGGTGGTGCGGACGCGTGTGGACGTTGCCACCGGGGCCGTCGGTATGGGGCCACGAAGCGTGTAAGGGGTGTGCCGAAATGGGTGGGGCTTGAGTTGTTGTTGGGGCCTGTATCTAGAGCCATTACATGGCGGCCGCCATAACTGTCCGCATATTCTGCTAATCTGCGGATTGCAGCCCTGAGCATGTCGTCTGCGGCAACAGAAAACACAACACTCATACGCCGATTGCATTATCAATAACGTAGTTCTCTGGGCCCTGATGGGGCAATCGGCCATCGCATACCATAGGTATTGCATAGCCTTGGATTTCACAGCATTGACAGCATGTAGATGCCATTGCCATGGTGCGTGCACTCAAACATTGCCGAGCATAAGGGCACCACCATTGCCAAGAATGTAACATATCGACGCCCTAAATTGTATCATGGTTTCTGCGACTGTGGGGCGGTATCCCTCACATAAAATGACCCCAGGGGAAGGGCAACAATGAGGGATGGTGGGGGAAGGAGGGAAGCAGGGCGTCTGAAAAACGTCCCTGGTCGTGTTCAGGCCATGTTGGGCTGTATTGGACCCACTTGGCGCGACGATGAGGACAAACGCGAGGAGTGAGGTAGAGGTGAGAATGAGGAGGAGGAGGAGGAGGAAATCAACCAGAAGGATGTGGACACCTATCCGACATCGCGCTGGCTTCGGCATGCGCAACATGCTGCTCATTCGTGCCCTCGCGCTCGTCGGGTGTCGGCTGGGATCCCAGAAGGACATCATGAGGGGCCCAAGGTACCCCAAGAAAGTCCCTGGAGGGCCTCGCAGAGGTGGGAAATACGGCCGCATTCTCCCACATCAAATCGAGGTTCCTGGGGAGACCTTGGAGCCTTCTTGGAGGCTTGTTGGGGCGCTCTGAACCCCCTCCCTTCTCGTTCTCTCGCCCTCCCTCCTCATCTTCTCTCATGTTCCCACTGCCGCGCGGTGGTGTGCATTGCCGTTCGTGTACGAGGCAGTCCACATATTGTACTGTCATGTGCGGACAGATGGTCCCCACCCGGGCCCCATCCCCAGACTAGGCACCGAGGTCGGGGCACCATCTGGTTGTCGAGCAACGGTCGTGTACAGGGACAGAATCCACAGATTGTACTGTCAAGCGTGGACAATACTTTTGGGAGGCCGTCGGCAGATTGTACTGTCAAGTGTGGACAGGTGTCCCTGGTCCACTGATTGTACTGTCAAGTGCGGACAGATTGCCTGGGCCTGTGCGCGCACAACCTGCGGACAGGGGGTGCGCCCACGGGACAATCTGCGGACACGCATGTTGTCCGCAGATGGTCCTGGGGTCGTCCGGTGCACACGCGTAGAATCCGCAGGTCGAGGGTGGGGCATCCATACTACCGGCGCCGAATCCACAGATCGACGGGGGGAATATTGTCAGCGCGCGCCGAATCCACACTTCAAGCTTCTTGATAACCCTTTTCGGTTTTTGGGGGGCCCACAGCCCAGGCCACCTGGGAGGCCCCCAGGTTCCCAGGAAGTCACGGCCATATCTGAGCCTAGAATTGCGAAGATGTTTCAGGCGGGACGGGGCAGACCACTTCAGGTCAAAGCAAATCTGGGCGTCGAGATGCGAAGAAATCTCAAGCGAAACAAAGGCTGGACCGCCTCGGGTCAGGGCATATCAGAGCCCAGAATTGCGAGGATGTCTCAGGCGAAACGGGCTGGCCACCTCGCGGGCGGCACCTCCTCCTGCTGCTACACCTTCTCCGCCTCCTGCTCCTCCGCCTGCTGCTGCTGCTGCTGCTGGTCCTCCTCCTTTCCTCCCGATTCACAAGAAGTATGAGAAGAGGAGGGGGGGGGAGGGTCCCAGGGAACCGCTCAATGGACGCTGCTGACAAATAGTAACATCGACGACATTGTTGCCCATGCGCCAGTTGGCAACATGTTCGTGCCAAATGCGAATAGATCGAATGTTTTCGTTCGCTGACCGGGCGCCTCGATGATCCAGCTGCGCCGCGTCGGAAGCGTGCGCTGCGAAATTAGCGTTATCACCTGTTGATTGTGGCGAGATCCAAAGAAGGGTTTGGGCGCAGGTGTGCCATTGCACGCCGGAGGTGCTGGTTGACGCCAGCCCTGCGTCGCTGTAGCGCGCGATTGCGGCCGAATTCACTGGAGCACAAGTCTTGCCCATCAAGTTTGCCAGGCGGGCGCGTCGCCGTTTGCCGAGCCGCTTGGCTCTCCAGCTTGTCCGCGGGACCAGATCCGCCCATTGCAAAGAGTCTGCGGACTATCGCGGCTGGATGTGCACAGCCCTTTAGAGAGCATCGCGAACAGACCCAGAGAACAACCCAAGTTGGGGCGGCCGCGTGTGGATATGGTCACTGGGGCCTTCGGAGAGAGCCCCCCAAGGGGTTGCGCAACGCGTGGGGGGTGTGCCCGAGCAGCGGCATGCGGGCTCT